CTTTCTGCCTGAGAATGATTCAAAACTTCTTTAAAAAGTCTCTGGTGTCCCACAGATGAGTGGGAACAAGCGACGAGAGTTAGAAGAATATTTTCCGGAAAAGACACCAAGCTTTTCTTAAGGACCACCGCACGCAAATGTGACGGATCTAAAGGGCACTGCAGGCTTATGATCCTCAGGCCACCCACAGAAAACAGATGTCCTAACGTGTTTAGGTGTCAGCTCTTTGATGCTTTTGTCCAAAATTTTTTACCAACTGTGCTCTTCAGTGTTTTTTTTTGTTCTAGCTACCACCTGAGAGGCTGGGTTCATCTTCGCCTTTTTATAGCTGTCGCTGCCGCGATGTGTAGCCCGAGTCTTGTCCACATGAGTTGGCTTGTCTAAGATTACAAAGTGCTTACACTTATCGCTCTGTTTAACGTCTATACCGTCGTTGTTCCTGAGGTCTCTGGTGAACTTCCGCTGATGCGATTCCAGTGACATTTAATTTCCCCACTTCATACTTTTTCAAGGTGCATAGTGCATCATCCTTCAATTTCGGCAGGCTGAGTTCCACATGAGCGCACGAACTTGATATAGAAAAGAAAATCCTCCGACCCCTGTTTGGCTGACATTATGTGTTGAAAGCTCTTATTTTGATTTAACGATCTTCAATATTTCAGTATATCAGGAGATACTGGTTAAATGACGTTATAAACCTAACTAACGATTATATTGATGGCACTCGATATTTCGAGCTGTGCTCATTGTCAAGAGCCGCAAGAGGCCGGAAAGGTTCAGCGAAATATAACACTTGCAAATTAAGACTCATGACACCAGAAAATATCCTTGATCTGCGCAGATACTGCCACTACAGTCAAAAAGGGGGGTCAAAAAGGAAAATCATCCAGGCTCCCATCACCGCGCATACCGTCTAACGTTAAAGCCGCAAAAGGATATTTAGAAATGAACATATCATCAATGATAATAGAAGAACATTATCTACCGCACATCAGCCACCACAGACTTTGCCTGGACCTCGGGAACGTGCATAGCCAAGAACATGTTGTTCACGTCAGCTCCCACGATGAAGCGTGTACGTTTACCTGGGATGGACGTTCCCAATGTTCAGCGATTCTAAGATCTTCAGTTTAAAGGCGGTTTTTCTTAAGATTTCCATTGTTTCCAGGTGTTGCCGAAATTTCCCTTTCAATTCTTATTTCGTATTTGATATCTGTTGTGCTTGCTTCGTCGTTACGTGTCAATCTACCATGCATTCTCCTAGTGGTGTATACGCTCTCCGTAAACATGCCTTCTCGTGGTGTTAACTAAACCGATACATTATTATATATTCCATTTTGTCAATCAATATCAATTATCAATATTCCATTTTGTTTCTCCTACATAACATATCCCAGCACAAAGGTCGCAAGAACCTTGTACGCTACGCTCTTCCTCGTGCAACTGTCCCGCGGTCCTTTCACACATGTTAAGCAAATCCTACTCCAAGGTGGACACATTGGCTTCTCTAGCGGTAACGCCCTAGCATGGGCCTAAAGCACTAGGACCAGCAATCCACGCTACCCTAAGGCCGTGCATACTGCCCACGCGTACGGCGGCATTTGCTTGTTTGCACAGGTCGTCGTCTATAAAAGGGAGTTTCCTATAGGCTTCATTTGATTGGTTTACCTTTTTACAACTTCTACGCATGCCTGTCGTTGAGTTAAATCGACAACGTCCGGGACAGGTAGCAGGCCTATCTCTATATTTGGATTTCGTCCATAATCTGGCATATTGGAGATCGCTGATTTAACGTAAAAACTTTAAAGTCAGTGCACGGAGGTTCTGGAAAGTCTTAAACGGTATCTGGAGAGATTAACGACAGGTTCGGCAGGTAAGCTCGACGCGACTGACCGCCGTCGCTATCATCTGCGTCTGCCCCACCTATGCCTCGTGGCGGTGCGTTCGCCGGTCTTGGTGGTACGACTGCGTCGTCTGTTGAATTTACTTGTGGTGCCACTTCTTTCTGAGAGCTGGCAGTTAGGAAGGAGGCGGTACAACGATGCTGCCATGACACTATCTAGATATGCATTATTTCCTCATCTTAGCATATGCCAAACGCTCAACTCCTTCAACTTTTTCAAGTAAAAATGCCTATAGACTGACTGCATCAGTACAAAGTTCGCACCTTTGGCCAGAAGAATAAGACCTGCAGTATTAAGCACTACGGACCAGAAATCTGACGCCGGGCTTAGGCATTTTCACCTGCCGCCTAACGTTCTGTCGGACGACGGCTTTTGCCTTGCATAGACACTTGGAAATCGAGGCTTGTTAAGACCGACACTGCCTTGCATAGATGAGAGCTTGCTTTGGAAAACCAAACATATCACTGGAAAATAAAAACTGCATACGCATGGCTTGGATTAAAAAACCATAATAGTCTGGTGAAATCTTCCATCTCGTGGCCTAAATGCCCAGGAAACTGTATGCCATGTATGTGTGTAGGGGTTTCACGGGTATTGCACTCATATAATCTTGGGTCACGAAATTAAGTGTAATATGTGAAGTCTATGTAGCATAGTCCATCCGCCATATTTGTCTGAGAGTTGATGGTAATGTTCTAAATAGGAAGATTTTGCTAAAAGCACCAGATAGGATGAATTTTAAGTGTATAAGACTGCTCTACGGAACACAAAACCACTATTTGGTGAGCATTTTCTTCCATACGTCATCGTTTGACTACGTCATGGACGTGTATATGACACCAGTTTCGCTGCCAAACTGGTCGTTTGAGAACCACCATGAGAGCGGACTTGTACTTCGCTTGTCAACAGCTGATAGTGTTTCCTGAACCCGAATTTTGTTACAAGCTGGTGTTTTTGACCTCTCTCGTGGTATTCTTGTATAGCTGTTCGTGATTTTATATTCCTGCTTCCTGGGTCACATCCCCGGTTATGGCGCTTTTCTTCAGTTATTTGATTCTCAGTCCTATTTCCGCCATAACGCGTAGCACTGCTCAAACTCCAACATTATATAGCACAAAACGTCATTCGTGTTCCAAACACGCACTCTACGTTTTACGTTCGTTGAAAGCCAACTGACATTCGTTAATGCCGCAAATATTGCTGCCGCACGCCAGCTATGAATCCAAAATCATATTTTTCTTAAACATGGCCATTGACGTGCCGTTATTCGCGTGACGCTTCCATGGCGTCCCGCATGCCTGGGTAACGTTGAAGTAGTTTGAACAAAGTCGTCTGCACATGTTTGAGAGGGCTATTGCAGTTCAAAACCCCATGTAGATGTGGAAAACATCCTTGGAACGACGCTGTTGGGAGGACCACCAGACGTTTTTACCCCTGTCATACAGCCTTCAGCAGTTTTCAACTACTGTTCATAGCTGTTTTGATAAGTACCTGTGCCCCAAAAGTCAATACACCTGTCCTTTCTCCTTTAGTTATCTAACGAGGTTGAGGTCAGTTGTACCGTCTTAGTATGTGTAATATTCCTCGTAACTACATTGAACAATGGTTAAAGTAGCATGTTTATCGATCTTGCCGCAGAACCGCCTTTGTTGCCCTCACAAACTTGTTTAAATGCTTTTGAATTGTTGTAACACGTTTTTGTCATAGTTATCAGATAGTGCCACTCTCCTACTTGAACTATCATTCCATTTTAGGTCACAGCTGTTTATTGACCTGATGGCGCAGTCTGAATTCCACTGATTGAATGAAGTATTTTTGTACAATAAATTCCTTTAACGTTTCCAAAATTCAGCCTTGGAATCAAGTTGTGAATATGATATGTGTATGCTAGCATACATATATGATACCACTAGATGGAAACGGCTATGCCCAGTTCGTGCTCGGAGCACAGAAAGGCATTGTCTTTACATTTAACTAAAGCCACACGTATGAGTGTCCGGCGTATGCCTTAACGATAACATCTCGGACGCAAGTAAATGAAGCGTCGATTTCGTAAGTTGTGAAGTGCATTTACGAGGAACATTTTGCGCATAGCTTTATTTATTATTGCGCAACAGCCTTATTCCTCGTAGAAAAGAAACCAGGAGAACTGAAATAAATATGCCTTGATATTTTGGCGGTATGCCTTTATCGAACTGAATAGCACAAGTAAATTCGAACTCACTTCTGCTATTCATTTCGATAAAGGCATGTTGGCGAAATATCGGTGCATCTTTATCTCTATTCTTTTGTTTTTTTATCCGCGGAATGAATGACAAATTATTGCTATGTTTTCTATGAGCGTTGATCACGGCTGTTTAACTCGTGCATTTCACGAAAGAGAAGCGTCAGTTTAGGTTTCCCGTAACTCGCCCGGTTTACTTCAGTTTGCTAGTTTGCCTGCGAGCCTTTGCTCTTCTGTAGCTGCTATTCATCTTTCGATCGCACACATCTACCAGTACTTAACATGGTTGCTGCCCGTCTAGTGGTGTTATAGATCTATGCATAGAAGTAAAACTGGCAACATCCCAATATAACCTTGCACCTCACGTCGGATGAAAACATGGCGCTTGTAAATCTTATTCAGATTCACGAAGATGATGTAGTAATGCTTGACCTATCTCTCTGCTTTCAGGGAGAAACATTCTATCGAAGGAAGAGGATTTGCGGCTTCTTAAAGAAAGGCAAGTGTAATATGTCACTTGCCAAAATGGGATTGTGATGTTCTCTCGGCATGCTTTTCTTCTGAAACCCGAATTGTTCTCCTATGTCGTTGTTTGTTGACATGATATCGGTTCAAGTTGCCAGCCATACCAGTTGTTATAAGACTTAACGATATTTGCATCTATGCATTCTTCGCAAAAATGTGTGCATATATATATATATATATATATACATAAATATATACTCGTGCACTTAGGAAGTCTGCTTTCGTCACTGCAAGTTTTGTGATATGCAAAGGCAAATGTACATCAGTTTCTTGCGTGGTTACTCGATCGTTCGAATTAAATCCTTCGTTGTTTTCGGTAAGACATAAATCAGTTCGCCTATAGTCATTTACATCAGTTTCAGCTAGCTAACGTTTCAAGGACATTTGTTCCCCATTCTCAAAGAAATGTAAAACAGTTGGACGGAAGCATTCCAATATAACGAAATACGACGCATGCTCTACGACATATAATCAAAGAAAAACCACCAGTTAACAGATTATGCATCCTAATATCAGGTCAAATTGCAGAACACACTTAACACGCGTGCATCACTTTCCTAACCATTTCCACACCATGACAAAATCACGGCGTCGAATCATCCTGCTGTAATTGGGTGACTGAACAGGTCCAAAGTGATGCATTACCTAAGCTGTTTGCTTAAACCAGGCATTCTTTCTCTGATGAGGATGGCTTCGAGAACTTATGAGCGGCATTCGTTTGGACTTCATTTTATAATCTGTTTTCAGTTGGGTCAGAGCGTGGGATATTTTTATTGTGAATTTTGCGCATATGCTGGTCTGACGCTGCCTTCTGCAAATGTGTTGTCATGTGTCTTGATAGAGATGTTGTGATAGTGATGACCACTAGACAAGAAACCGGCCCATCAACTTTTAATCGAAGTCAAATGTCCCTGTCATGTAAAGTGGACGAAAAGGGTTGGCAGAACGCCGCCAGGTAAAATATCATACCAGCCGATGAAGACACTGCAATACCTTACCATCTATTAAAAGGCAGGACAACTAGCCACCTTGTGATGAAAAACAACCTAACCGGAGACGAAAACCAGCTAAAGCGCATCAATACAGTGAACGAATTTAAATGTCCCACCTTAGACCGACTAAAACCAACTGAACCAACCAAACAACCAAAAACCAACTATAACGCATCAATACAGTGAACGAATGGAAATGTTCATCCTGAGACTGCTGGCTCCCCGGCTGGACCTACATTAGAATGACCACGGCATGTTTATCACGATGCGTGACAATGATCCTGAAGAAGGGGGCGCCAGACCTGCATGTGAGCAAAACTCATAATCATAATGTCAAAACAAACGCCGTTTGCAAGTTCTCGGAGCCATCCCCACCAGAGAAAGAATGCCTGGTTTAAACGAACAGCTTAGGTCGTGCATCACTTTGGAACTATTCAGTCACCCATTCATAGCAGGATGGTTCGGTGCCTTGAATTTGTCATGGTGTCAGAATGGTCGGAAATGTGATGTATGTGTGTTTGAATGCCTTTTGCACATTGCTGTGAGGATGGGAACGAATGGCCTTGAAACGTTGGTTAGCAGAAACTAATATAGGTGGACTATAGGTGAACTATACGTAAACTGATCTATGAGTTACCCAAAGCAAGGGGGGATCTCATTCGAACAATCGGGCGAACGCGCAAGAAACCGATTAAATGTACATTTGTCTTTGCATATAACGGAAGTTGCACACATATAAATGCATTTATGCATATGCAGGAGTGCCGATTTCTATTCTATTTTAAGGATCCTTCTCCCGCTAGGTTGATTCCCCGTCAAAGTTGGTTTCGGGCCCCAAATTGTTGGCTGGGCTGTTAAGAAAATTTTACAAAAAAATACATGTCACACATACCTTATGTGTGTACCTTATACATACATACCTATTACATATCTTATGCCCATACATGCCACACATACCTTCTTTGGTTATCATTCGCTGGCCACTGACTACTATGCTTACTTAATGAGTGGCTATAACTACTAAATGACCACTAATGATCGCTACCCTTTGAATAAAGAGCTATTTGATCGTTAGAAATAAAAATCACCGTTTGTCAGATTGCAGAGCCTGTTTCACATTGAAAGGTATTGAGGCGAGCATCCGATATCATGGAAAAAGCTCTCTTGTAAATATTGATGTGTTCGTAAGTACAAAACTGCTCTAAATCACAAAGTGTCACCAAGCAACAAGTATGCGCTTTAATACGTTATCGCGCGATTACACCACTGAACATTTTCATGACGCCAGGGTCGCTTCCGAGGCTGCCGCGTCAGACTTAACGCCGTAGCGGATGGCGTCCCTCATTTATGGTACTTCTACGCGCCACAAGGTGGCGTTGTTGGTTTATGTGCGTAAATTATATCTACCGACGTTCGTTGCGCATGCTTTTGTCTTTTGTCTTGAATATTTTACCGTGATGGCAAGTTCCTTACTGGAATTTGCGTTTTCGTTTAGGACGTTATTCTTAAGTTGTTGAAATATCGGTGTCATGTCCGTCGCATCTAGCAGTTGCCAAAAACCGATATTATTAATGGCAAAACGCTAACGGCAATTGAGAGATTCGCCCCGTTTTCCTTATTCTTGCTTCATCCCGAGTCCTTGCAACAACCCGTTTGTCCAGGCAGGATACATGCATCCGCTATGTGGGCTTGTGCCTGCTCCATTTGAAAGGGACCCCGCTCGAGCGCCCAGCGCATGGCCTGCATAGGCTCCCTGTGCGGGCTTATGCTCGGTGGCTAGACCTCCACGTGCGTGCAGATCCACTCTCATTCCTCCTATAGCCCTGAAGTGGTCATTACTGACGTCAAGGGCTCTAATCCGAACAATCCAAACAACGTAAAATAGCGATTGAGATATGTAATTAGCTGAGTAAATTGGTTGTTAACCAAACCCTTCTGTCAATGCGATTCTTTGCGTTGCATTGCCGTGAAATTTAAATGTTCAAGTGGCCATGCTTTTTCATGACCATGAGCACACTACAGCAATTGGGCAGGATATTTGGGTGATATCTCTGACATCTTGCAGATCTGGGTAACTTCCAAATGGGCGACGTGTAATAAACTGCCTGAGAATGCGAACATCAAGCGAGAGGAACATCAAGCGAACAAGAAACGAGAGGGTTTTTGGTCTTAAAAAAGCATGGCTGTGAACTGCAAGGAACAGTCATGGAAATCAATGTCTCAGTTAAAAACCTTTACTTAAATGGAACGGCTTTTTTAAAGTAGGGTAAATTCGTGGAGAAGCACACCTTTGGGAGTAAAATGGCTGGGCGAGCACGTGGTCCTCCCACCAAATCACTTACACCAATGATCACCCACACGATTTGGTTCGTGTCATAGAGCAATGTTTACAGGAGCAGATGACACGACTTGATTTGCTCTCCGACTGCTCATGTGCTGTAACACAATCTCCTAACAGCCAGATGAACTTTGCACACGGATTTACTTTATAGTACGGAAGTGTATCAGTGCATTGTAATCTTAGAACATCTGGGCGTTGAAAAGCTGACGCAACCAATCGGGGATTCGAGATATATGGTGCTGTCTTGTTTCACCCTTCCCTGGCGTGCCCTTCTGCGGCTGAAGCGAGAAATTACGACCTTTGGGGCCGACTGGAGCAGTTACATGTCTCGTAAAGCCAAAACGGCTAGTTTCTGCGAGGCATGGCCTCAGGTGTCTGGAGATGTTGACACAATGATTTGCAATGACGGGGAAATATTAACATAACGTTGCATTTTTTTCAACAACTGTATTCTCATCAGTCAACACCGCAACCTCTTGTGACCCTGATAAACAGGACGCGCGGCCAGGGCTACCTCGCTGCTGCGATTCATTCGGGCATCCGCTATATCTCCCTCGGAAATGCTGAAATACAGACTTATGCTTTGCTAGGGATGAGATTGGAATTAACTCCGAAATTAATCAAACATTGGTTGTGTCCCGATAAAATCCATGCCACTGCCAGACCCGAATATGACACAGCCTGGGTTGAGCCAATTTTCCTCGCTGGAATCGTCGATGGATCAATACAAATCAATGTTAGCAGCAATCGCCATTCCTAATGTAAGTTTATGTGGGCCGCAGTGAGCAGCTTATGTGAGCCGCAATGAGCAGCTTACATGAGCAGCTTAACAGCAAGGGAATACTGAACGCTTTCTACATTTGGTATATAGACATATATCGTATGCTGCTGTAAGTGCCATCTACTGTCCTGGACATAGGCGCTTCATATAACGCGCATTATCATGGATGGAATAATTGTTCGGTCCAGCAGCGCATTGGTTTATACACCACGTTTCGGCCACCCAACCCTCCAACCGTCGTCGGGTGTTATTGCAGGTTACTGGCGGAAACGTTATGTACATACTTACACACCAGGCGAGGACGGCACTCCAATGAATCATTTCATTCGTGATACTCAGACTCAAGCTTCCCATAATGCAGGCTATATGTTTATCCACTCTCACGAGAGCGAAATACTCCATCGAAATTGGTTTCGGAATTCAGCTAGGCATACGTGAGTCCGAATCAGAGTCTCCTCAGAATCACACGCTACTACTTGAAGCGAGCTTCGGAACAAATACTGTGTGCTGCAAGTGGAAATCGATTTTGTGGAAGCGCAGTCACACACAAATAAACTCAACTGCCATCAAAGTTATCTGCTGGACAACTTCTCCTTGTAACCTGAGTGATTCTGTCGGAACAGAGGCCCGCGCCGTATGCGTGCGTCATATATACTTTTCATATACACACGCACACACACACACACACACACACACACACACACACACACACACACACACACACACACACACACACACACACACACACACACACATACACACACACATATATATATATATATATATATATATATATATATATATCATGTAATATATGCATATATATATAAATCATATTCTCATAAATGTACACTTATCTTTAGAACGACTAACAAAAATGTTCCTTGGGACTAGTTCCTACCAGATGCGGGTGAGCGTCGAGGTGGTGTGACCGTGCTGCGGTCAGATGTCATGTGCTGTGTTACGTGAGACCTGCATCTCATATGCTGTGTCACGTGAGAACTAAATCTCATGTACTGTGTCACGTGAGACAAAAATCTCGCGTGACAGATGGGGTTGTCGTCGGCTGTCTGGCATGACGTTTCATTTTCAGTTAGGACGTGAATTCTGACATTTTCAGACTCGACAGCCTTGAGACAAAGCTTCTGGAGAGTGCTAGACCAGTGCCGCCATCTGTTAAAGACCTGCAAACTAACGTTTGGCAGCTTCTTCGCCAGCTACACAGGATCGACCTAATCGACTGGCTCGGTAAGTGGACCAACTGAAAATAAGTTTTTTCACGGTCAAAATAAGTTGTGATTTTAGAGACGTTCCTTTCACAACGCATGACGTAAAGCCTAAAACGGCATCTTGATATCAAAAGATTCTTTGAGCAACACTTAGTTATTACTACATTGGTTCTTCGCCTATATTTTTATCTTTGCCCTCCAGAAAATGGCGCAATGGCCCTTCAAAAATGTCACCCAGGCTGCCTGAGTCTTGAAAAAGTTTTTTACGTAGACTGTAAGTTGTCTGACTGCTTGTAAGGCGAATGACTGCCACAGGCATTCTGTCATTTTCAAGTCAGAATGACTGTCATAGTCTCTCTGACTCCTGGAAGCCAGGTGTGGTGTCTAAAAGCCACCAGATCATTTGATGCGCGTGCATATCCCGTATAAATCGTGCTTACAAGTGCATTACCTAAGAGCAGTGCTGTGTAGGTCCACGTTGCGGGGCAAAGCGCGATCATTTAGCATTTTACAGTTGAAACTGTGCCTTGGACATTTTTCAACATTGGAAGCCTTTGGTACGTAATTGCTTTGGTCTAGTAAACAACTCTTCCCTCATTGGGGACTTTTCCACCACCAGAGTTAAGACGCTCAAAGCTAAATGACTACTGCCGCGCTTCGCATAATCCGAGCAGCAGAAAAACGTCAACTCTCCCGAGAGAGTTAAGAGCGCCATACAGCTCTTGCCAATTTACGGACGATGTGGTATGGGTAGATCTTTTCGTGCTCGTGTTTTGCAAAATAGGCCTTTGCATAAAGCTCTAATCTACGAAAGCAGTAATTTTTTGGGCCGCGCATCTTGTCATTTCTATTATTTGTTCATGCATTTCGTGCGTGCAGGGAATGCAAAAATGATAGGTATAAATTTTAGAATCCTCGCACAAAACTTTAACATAGAGTTTGCGACTGGCTTTAAACATTTAATATGCTCCTTCTGAAGCATGAGAAGAGTGAGATGATGGCGGACGTCGTTGTTATCACCACGTGCATGACGTCAACGGATGGCCGAGCGAATACAGCCCATCGCTATTGGAAAAAAACATGCAAATAGAAAAATGACGTATCAGTGCAATGGTATGTCCTCTTTTCATGAGTTCAGCAGGCGGATGTGCACTTGGGGCGTATGCGCGTGCATCTGTAAACATTACTTGAAAACACACTGGGTTGCTGGGTATGGGTCTGCCCTCGCCGGACAGTTTCAAGTGTTGTTTCTACAGCCTTGGTTTCAAACGACGCATTCGATGAATTCACAGTTATTTGCTGCTTTGGCAAGTTTGCCGTCCGAAGGCAAAAAGGCTTAAACGCCATCAGATAAATTGTTCAAGAGAAACATTGTTAGGTTTTTGGTGAGTTTAACATGCCTATGCCATAAACAAAAAATATTTGAATGTATATTGAACACAGCTTTTTCAAATTTTTGGCTTAACATTACTAGATGCAGTTCTTCGGCATGCATCGAGTGGTCTACGTAACTCCATTTCCGAAAAATGTCAGCCCTCTTTACCTCCATACGAAGCATAAGCATCATGGGTGAAGTAACTGTTAGGACTATTGCCCCATCTGGTATGTTCGTACTTACACAGCGTTTCGGCCAAATAATTATCCAGCGTCTTCAGGTCTTATCCAGCCCTGAGAAATGATTGATGATGTTCAGCCATGTCCGCGCCACAACCCGAATTCTCTCCTTGGAATCGGCAACACTCTAACTGGGATCGGCCGATTCCCGGTTAACTCGGTAATAGAAAAGAGGACTCGTAATCGCTACATAATCGTTGAGATAGGAGACTGAAAAGGATCGATTGGATTGTGGACAGTTGGACCGGACTGGATTGGACTGTACAAGTTTAATCCTGGAATTGCGCCACCAGCGGGTAGTCAGTGGGTGCATGACGCCTTGTGCTGGCTGCTCATCTTGGGATTGTTATATGCGAGTTAACATTAGGATAGCCAAACCAATACAAATATGTCCACCAATGCTTATCAAAAAGGTAGTGTCCCTCATTTTTTGTACTTTGGCTTAGTGTTGTACCAGCCGCGTACGATTTGATCTCAGTATACGCATATCGCGTATCATTCAAAAGCGAAGTAGGGCTCCTCAGCAACCGAGGGTAACCCAGCATTTCAACTTATGGGTACCCCGGCGTATAGATAGCGTATATGTCTAACGTATAGAGTACTTCGGGCAAATGAAAATAATCCGTGGAAAGCTCCTAATTGACAGAGAGTGCCAAGGCACGCTAGCAGGAAGGGCTACAGCAACAGCGCAAAGCCTTCCGAGCAAACGCAAAGAAATCAGCGACAACGTAGAAGGCTTTTACGATCGGATCGACTTTGCAAGTGGACATTAAGGGCCCACGGAAACAGCGCAGGGTCTCTGGACAGCGCAATGAACATTACAACGTCCCAATCGCCACCCTTCTCAGTCAGTGGCAAATAATTTTTGTCCGCTCGCGGGCTCTTTACTTTCGCTTGCGACTGTTACTGGCCGCCTGAAAGCCCAAAGACCTTCAAGCTTGTTGCGACCTGTGCAAAAAACCGTCTGTTTAGCCGGCTATGGGCCCGTTCAGAGGCTATGGGCCCCTCCGGGGCCCAAAGAAAGTCATGACCCCGCGCCCCCCTCTGAATCCATCGCTGGGTACGGACGCGTAAGTCTTCTCAATGAAAGCCTCTACCTTTATCCACGCGCTGCGGCCTATGCTGATATGTAAACTGGGTCTTGTCAGCTGCACGGAGGTGTCGGTCAGTCCGCCATCATGTCCAATATCTGCCCAAGCTGAACGCACGTTTTAATAACATTGCTCTTTGACTACCACACTTACACAAGATGACCTGGGAAATGGCACCACTAGGCTGCGCCTCGGGCAATGCACCTTGGGTTATGGCAATGTAATAATAATATGGCAATATAATGAGGCAATGCGGCTTTAGGGTATTGCTACCGGAGCCATGTGAGATTGGTGTAGTGGTGTGATGACAACTTCTTATCGACATTGTACCCGTCTTGCCCTACGTATATTACAAAACATCCCCGACCAACCTGCGACAGCCTACACCGCTCCTACCTTGCCTTACTCAAACCTACCAGCCAAGAGTGACATCAATCCTCGTATTTCCAAGTTTTCCGTAATGTGGAGCGATGTTGACAACGATTACAAACTTCCTGTAGACAGAGTTGGGTAATTTGAGAACGCTTGTAAGTAGATCCAACCCTGTATCTCCCCTCCCAAGATTCCATTGTTTTACGAGCGGCCTCCTGGTAGTACGTTTGGGAAGCTCTGCCTTTCCCGTATTGACGTGAACGGTGCCGGGCAAACGATGAGTGTGTTCCGAGCGTTAAGCCTATTTTAATCCATATATGTGAATATTTCCGAGAATTTAAAACGTTTTCTGTTGTCTTTAATGCCGTAAATATCACTTGCTTACAGACCCACGTGATTTTGACCATGTATGATCCTGAAGTCTTCATAGATTTCGCGCGGTTAAGTTTGAAAGTAAATCGTCTGGCGTGCTGTTTCATTTGTGATGTAGTGGGGACACTTGCTTCAGCACGACTGTGGGTAAGACGATCATAGCTTAACTTACCCCACTACAGGAGCGGCACACCAGAAGCTCCGTGTCTGGCTCGTGCCAATACTTCTAATAAGTTCAGAGTGGGAACATTTTTTGATAACTTAGAAAGAGTGTTGGAAAGGCTCCCATTCTCGCCTGAGGACATTTACAACGTTAATGAGACGTGGGTAACCACGGTCAGACACCGGAAAGGGTCGTGACGAAAAAGGGATCGAGGAAGGTAGACTCCATTACTACTGCAGAAAGAGAAGAGATTTACACGCTGGTTTGTGCAGTCAACGCCGTTGGGAATTATGTCCCACCACTCGTCATCTGTCCTAGACTGAACTATTAGTACACATTCCTTCGAGGCACATCTACCGGCACTGCAGGATGTGCAGCGAGGGGGAAATGGGTAAACCAGGACATATTCCTCGGATGCCCCACCCACTTTCAAAGACACACTCGGTGTTCAGCAGAGATACGAGTCTTCATCATCCTGGACAACCACGCCGCTCATAGTGAGTCCTCATCATCCTGGACAACCACACCGCTCATAGTGAGTCCTCATCATCCTGGACAAGCACGCCGCTCACTTCGGACAAATGAGTTTGTTCGCGCCGACGGGAGCACGCTTCTCACGCATCCGCGCACACTTCTCACCTCCTTCAGCCTCTGGACGTAGTGGTATTCGGTCCGCTGAAGACCTACTACAACAGGAGGGTGACGAACTGGATGCGGCAAAGTCAGGACAAGACGGTGAGGGTCTGCGACGTGCCACAAATCGTCGATATCACGTTCACCAAGGCCTTCACCGGATCCAACATTCAGTCTGCGTTCGGAGCGACTGAAATCTTCCCTTCCAACAGAGAAGTCTTCCTAGAGCACGTATTCTTGCCGGCAGATGTGCCCGACAGGCAGCTACAGGGTACCCCGGCACCGGACTAAGTGGCGCCCTGCAGGGAGAGGACGCGTCGGGCTCGGTACCAGGTTACGAACTGACCTGGGACCGATGGGTCAATTCTGGCCACACCAGTCACCTATGTTGTCGTGGAAGCGATATCGCCAATACCAAGAGTTCTTTGACGAAAGAGTGGAGCAGCCAATGGGAAGCGGGGAAGATCGACGGTACTGACAACGACTCCCGCAAAGAAGCGGCTCCAGTAAGAGCAACAGAAAAAGAGGAGGAACGCGCTACGCGGGGAAGCAAAGCCACGAGGCGGAAAGGCGAAGCGGAGGTCGACCAAGGATAGAGTGTCGTCTTCCAACGATGACAGTGGTGAAGATATGATGTGCTTGGTATGCGTGGGCCACACAGCCTCAGCCTACACAAAGATAGGTGGATCCAGTGTATCACTTGCGAGATGTGGGGACACGGGGCATGCACGCCCGCCAATTGCTGGTACGATTATCACAACTGCTATTTGGATT